GCCAAACAATGGCCACAAACGAAATGGGGACGATGTTGAGAGAATCAGAATTCACAGAAATTATCTGAGTCAGATGATAGAGTTTGAACATGAGATGGATGATTTCAACTTAAAATGGGAGGATCTCAAACAGGTACATATATACAGTCATATACACAAGTTATGGTTCATTATTTGAGTTCAAGACACTTAAAAGAATTTTTTTTTAATTTATGAGAAAATAGCCCTTGAATATATTTTTTTAAGGGATATTAAGATATATAAGAGAAAAGAATATTCCTTGCTCAAAAATATTCATATTAATTTTATTGACATTCAGGTCAAAAAATATTTATTCAAAAAACTCTAAAATTAATGTTCTTTCAGGCCATTATAAGATTGAGCAAAGGCACTCTTGGAGGAAGAGTAGCTGCACTTTCAGCTTAAACTCCATTATAAGAACTAGAAATTGGTACAAACTGACAAAGACAAGTGACCCAAGTTCATAAATTCAACTGAATATGAGAACTCTCACATCTGTATATTCATAATTGTGTATTATTCAATACATGAATTCAAGATTAAATGTGGAAGAAAAAATTCTTAAATACTGTAATGGTGAAAGGGAAATATACATGCAATAAATATTCACATTCAGCACTGATCCAAGGAGACTAAAGTAAAAATTGGTTATAACAAAGTTACTGGGACCTTTATAGTCCTTCGCTATATCCATAATTTGTTATATTCGTATAAGGAATTCAATAGATTTATATAGTGGGGACATTCTACACTGAATTCGCAATATGCATGTTTGAACTATTTTTACTGAAAGGGGTGGTTGGAATTTTCAATCTACGCTCTGCAAAATAAACAGGAAAGTTTCTAGTGTCACAAATAAGTTAAACATAATTGAAAATAAATTGAGAAAATACTTCATGCCCAGAAATTTTCTACATCTTTGCCTGCACACAACAAAGACTTTTTATGGTTAAACTAATCTATATCTGTGTCTCACAAATAAAAAATGATGACAATCATCAATTTGTTTTCTTTAATGAACTCTTGATAGAATTATGAAAATAAAATTTCCCAAGATAAATATATAAAATAAAAGGTATTTAATTAAACACTCAACAAAACAGATGATTGGAATAAATGGACGGTCTGCATAGCAAATAAAATATACCTCATGAGTAAAATTTAACTTGGTATATGTACATGGAATGTGGTTATATAATAACAATACTTTGTGTATACATTAAAATAAAAAAAAAAAACATTTCTTAACAGGATGAAACCACTGTGTGAAAAAAAAATAATCACATGTCAGTTTTCAACACCAGAAAATAAAAAAAATAAAAGTGCCAAATCCATGCAAGAACAAAATTCTTTTGATTAAAAGGCAAGGGAATTGAATTTTAACAATGCATAAAACTGCAATCATGTTATTTCCCTTTGAATAACTTGATCAATTGTGTTAAAAAAAATTGTGTACTTTTTTTGAGATGTTTTGCTTAAAACTATTTATATCTTTTTGTGTTACAATGTTTCAGAAAAAAAAAACATTAATTAAGCCAAAACCTGTTTTAGTGGTTTTGTGTATTTTTTGTCATTTTTGAGATCATCTACCGAAACAATGCCATTAAATCTATTTTTTAATTTTTACCTTAAATGCAAATTATTAAAGTTCACATATTATAACACATTTCGGCAATCATATATTTTATAACATATACTTCTGTTTAAACCCTATTCATCCCAATATCACCCCAAATATGCATAATATATATGAAAAGAGAATTCTTACAAGATTTCTCAATCACACTCAAAGTTTTTGGTAAAAGTTAAACCTAATTAAAAGTTTACATGCTTTTCTGTCCTGAATAAAATAAAAAATTTTATCTTTATGCTTGAAAATGAAATCATTTATATCTAGGAACAGAAAAGAAATGGTGAAAAATGCTATGAAAAGGAAAAAAAATAGTCTCTTACATACAGATTGAAGAAGAAATGAATCAGCAGTATTCCGTGCTATGCAAAAATCAGTTGAATTATAGATTTGGTTTAATGCTTGAGTGACTTTCAAGTTAGTTGCACATTAGTTGAATTCTAAAAGTTGGACATTAGTTGAATTCTAAAATATCAAACAAATCATTCATACTTTACTCTGTTACAATAATAACTCTACATGAAAAAGCAGCATTTCAAATTTATGTACATGTATGTACTTAACTTAAAAAATAAGCTAAGGAATATCACATGAGCACCTTTGGTGTTTAAAAAACACTGAATTTGATCACACCCATACTTTGAGAACACAAAAACAATATGTTCTTTTTCTGATAAACAAAAATGATGTTTTATGTATAACACAACAAAAGATTTGCTGGCAATGTGTGAAACAAAAAAATAAATAAACAGAAAATACTGTAAAAAAAATGTAAACAAAAATAAGTATACAAGATATACATTGTGCAAGATTAACAGCATAATAAAATGATTATTATTAAAAATTCCTTCCAGTAAAATTCTTCACAACCTTTTGCAATATCATCAATGTCCAAATACAAAAACATAACAACCTTAATCCAATCAACATATTAATTAAAATATAAATAATGTGAACAAACTCAACGTGAGCACAGCTTTCATAATATCCAACAGCGACTCAATCTTCTCGTAAAAGGCATTCCCGTAAAATAAAGTGTACATATCCACTTGTTGATTTCAGTGAGCCCATTTTGCCCACGAGTCACCTCCTCAATGGGCATGCCCATTCTGTTCACTGGCCACCTGAGCATGGGATTTATACTTTGATTTGAAGTACAGGTATTTGTTTCCGATGTCGGGGGGTTCTCCCACGATCAGTCTCTTGTGTTCAAACACCTGTACGGGGCGGTGGTGGATCAAATAATGCTCCAGTGTATCCCAGCCCCCACCCACTCGTACCATCAGGTGACGATTCTTTAGGAACTGTAACAAATTAAATTATAAAATGGTTAACATGTATTTTGTTTTAATATAATTGTCTGCGAATTTTTAAATCTATTTATTACAGCAGCTCATATTTTAGAGTTTTTAAAAAAATCAGTCAGGAAAAATATACAAGATTAATTTATATTTATTTAATGCTTTAAGTAAGAGTGCCCAAAAAAAATCAATGCACTCAAATTTTGACCACTTTTATGCAAAGTAATGTAGTTAACACTATTTAGACCACTTTTGTTGGTACTTACCCTTATTTGAACAACTTTTCCAAAGATGAGGTATTTTCCTTCCCCTAGCTTCTTCACATGATCATGACATTTACAAAGAAAGGCAATTCTTCTGACCTGTTTAAAATTGTACAAAACTAATTACTCAAATTAAATCACTATATCTGAAATCTGACAAATTTTAAATTTAAAAAAAAATGAATTTCCTTTAAAATAGAACAGACTACTTATTTCAGATGTATTCACAATTTTTTTCCTTGAATGATAAAATATCAATACATTTATTCAAGCTTATTCAATTAAATCTTCCTACTTAATATACATTGTTGTTTTCAGCATTTAGAAAATAATCACAAACCTTAATTAATTTTCTTAAAAGCTGATGATTAGTAAAAGCATATTATTATATTCCAATTTTCTGTCTGATTATTTCCAGATGTATCAGTTTATTTACTTTCAAAAAATCCTTCAATTGGTGAGAATTATAAATTATTCCAAAATAGTGATGCAGTGGTAAATCATAGCTATATAGCCCTGAAAGCACTATTAGATTAAATACTCCTTAAACACATGCATTGGCATTTAGATTTTGTTAAACATTTGCTGTGACCAGTTTCAATGCAAGTAACACAGTCACACTAATTATGAAAATCTACTCCATGCATCTTTCTTTACCATACAACTTTGTGTGTTCTCCTGAATATTCAAACTTCTTTGTTAAAAATGTTTTCATGATATATAAGCATTTGACATTTTTATATAATTATCATGATTATTCCAGACAACTTACCGGATCCTAAAATATCAATTAAATTATAATATCATTAATTTGAAGGTTAAATAAATGATCTGAATTCTCCATTATTGACATCTTCTACAAGATGCATACAGTTCCTGTCAACATTTCATGCTCAAAATTGACATCATATCCATTTTCCTGATGAAAGACTTATTGGGGGTGGGGGTTACGTATATTATTTAGTGAAAGTGGACCAGACACACTTTTCTGGTGCCCACTGCTATCAAACTTCTATGACTACAGTACCATCATACTTCAGAAAACACTTCAGAATACATACAACAATATATTGATGGGGAAGTGAATGTACGTAAAGAAAGATAACTCTTAATTTCATTCAAAGGCAGGATTAATTGATAGTCTAACAAACAACCACTGTACTGTTTATGATAAATTTTTTTCTTTTTAAAACCAGTCTGGGTTGTTTGTGATCACCTTTTTCCTATTTTCTATGTCAATATGCACATATATGTTATCAAAAATGCAAAGTCTTTTGTCTCTACAAGCTGTTTTTAAAATATGCCTTCAAGTTTTCTTCACTGATACCTGTGCAAAATTCTCCAGAGAGACACAATATACAAAATTCCTATTCTTCCTAAAGAGAACTGAACCATCAATACCATACAATACAATTTCATGAAAGACAAACATAAGTCATTGCACCTAGAACCCTATTACACTTGGTACATGCAAGATGACCTTTACCAAACAATATATTTGCAAGCACACTAACACTGCACTATTTTAAAGAAACATGGCCTCATTCCTACTATGAAAGCAAGACATTAAAACCTAGAACCCTGGCACTAATCCACTGGCGCTACACATACAAGCCAGACCACCCCTCACCTCTGCGTCAAGGTCAAATACATTTTCGGAGGTTGCTATGGGGATTACCTCAGCATCGAGACCCGTGGGTTTCTCCGGTTTGACCTCCGGGATTTCCTCTTCCTTTTCGATTTCCTTCTCCATCCGGATCAGATTGGGAGGATCCAGACCAAACTTGTAGCCGATTCTGGCCAGCTCAAGTATGGTCATCAACACAGACTTCTCTCCCGTGTGGGAAACTAAGGTACAAAAAGGTTTTTTAATAAGATGTATATACATGTATAAACATTATTTGATTTGTAGAGATTTAATTGATCAATTTTTTTTTCACAAAACCAGGAATTTAAATATTTATACACATTTGATTTGTGGAAATTTAATTTATCAATTATTCATCACAAAACCAGGAATTTAAATATTCTTATTTTGTTTCAAAATAATTTTATTGATAAACCTACATGTTTATGCAAATGTACTATTTATTCATTATACCTACTTATTTACAGGTTTAGAAAAGACAATTGCAAATGAGCCCTTTTCGGAATTGTTTCTTTATTCACAATTCTCATAATGCCGCAATGCTTTCCTTGTCATTGGACTTAAATTCAATGAAAACTAAATTTCCCTTTTTAACATCATTTCTACTGTACAGTTCACTCTATTACCTAAGTACTCTGTTTCAAACATCTGATCGTCGGCCATTCCGTACGCCTTACACCAGTTCAGGAAGTTAGCCGTATTGTCTCGGGCAAACCAGCTTCCAGGCGTGGCATTCTTACGGTACTTCAATGACACTTTTGGTAGGGGCTGTTTCAAAGAAAAGAAGAGTTTATACAATTGACATGTATATTTTTTTGTTTTTATTTATTAACATATAGACCTAATGTCTAAAATGTTAAAATGACATGCAAGTAATAGCTGTTTATAAAGTAAGAAAACAACTTTTTTCTGTACACATATAGAAATTGTCTATGCATGTACAGTGCAATTCATACGTTATACTTTATAATTATTCAAATTCTTCCAGCTTTTGGATTCTCATAGTGACAATTTCTATATTTATGCATGATAAAACAAATTTAATTGAAGTCATCTAGTGATCTACCATTTTATGAATATTGTTTTACAGGTTTATACCATACCCATCACCTAAAGCATTACCAAGTACAAAATTTAAATGTTAATCTTTCACAAGAAACTGCATCTACTCAACATACAAACATATACCATCTACATTAAGTGATTCTTATGTGAAAGCTTTACAAGCAATGTTGAGTGTTGCATATGTCAGCCCCATGAAATATTTGCCCCAATGTCAGTAATTAATTCTAAAAACATTACACCATCTAATGTGAAAATGACAAGACAAACTTACTGTTCTCTCAACTTATTCCATTAATTCCAACAATAAAATCACTGTTCCAAAGAGAAAATGAAGCTCAATTCCTTCAATCCCATGAACTCAGGCATAAATACAATAAAACTTAAAGACTTGGTTTACTTTACATTCAGGTTTTAGATTAAAAAAAATTTCTGGATTCTGAAATTGGAGAATTTTGTTTAGCTATTAGACCTTTTCCCTTTCGGTATACCAGTATTATATGTAAATATCCTACATGTAGTATACACCCCAATAAGCAAATTATTATAATTTTATTAGCAAATAGAAACAGTTTATCCCCAAAAATCATAATCAAAGAACTAATTAGCCTGTGTTAATTAGCATAAGACCCTACATGTACCTCTGTGTAGCTCCCGTCCCTGACACACTCCTCAGCTTTACCCTGGATTAGTTTGGCCAGATTACACAAATGTACCCCATTGTCAAGAACGTCCAGAAAATTGTCTGTTGAGATGTCAATACCTAAATAAGAAAAATCAATTACCATTGAACATGTTGAATGTGTGAATTTTCAAATTTCTTTCCATTGATTTTATTGTGAAAGTTTATAATAAGAATCAGTGAGGAAGAGGGGGGTTATTTATTGGATGCAAAATTGCCTTGCTTCATCATGTTTATGTTTACATGTAAATGTTTCAATTTTAGGAACCTTATATGCAAAATGCAGAGATTAGAAAAATTATGAGATTAATGTAATCAATTTATAAAAAGAAATATTTTACAGTTTAGGACTCATATAATATTTTCAACAAAGTTTAAAAGTTACTATGCAAATCTACATGCATACAAAATCAGCATGCATTATGTAAGAAAAGCTACAGTGCATCATTGAAACCCAGATGCATGGATGCAGTTATTTCCATATAAGACCTGTACTAACCAAGAGTCCTGGCAATCCATTCAGCCAGGTCCTCTTTGATTGGCTTCAGACTTTCCTCCTGTAAAACAGCCAGCTTTTGGGACACGTGACACTCCTCCTCCTCTTTAGGGGCCCCATTGGCTGTCAATCTAGGATCAAGCCCCGCCTCCGGGCGGGACAGTCCCGCCTCCCTAACAGTCGTCATGGTAATCTTTATGTTCTTGCCATCTAAAATGATTATATGAATATTCAAATAGATTTGTAAAATTATTTTTTTAACTGATTTTTTAGAGAGGCATACAAATTTTGTGAAATTGGGAATTCTAAACTGCATTTTCAGAATTTGAATGATCATGCACTGCAACCCTCAGCAGACTGTTACTTCAGTAAAATATCTATAGCCCTAATAATCATGCTAATGTCATTCTTTGATGTGTATTCAATGAATAGCAACAAAAAATGTATAGCCAACATTGGTACCTGGGTTATCAGAATCAGGTCTGACACATCAATGATTTTTCCCTCTTAAAAATGTCCATATCAAACAGTCAATTCAAATTATATCAGCTAGTCCAACACATGCTCTACAAGTTTCAAATGTGTAACATACATTTTGTTCTAGCTATTAAAATGTTTACTTCTGACCAGATTGAGAAAGAATTGAAAATGTGTACATGATAATTAAGCTTATAGTCTACATGTAGCTAGGTGACTTATAGAATTACCATAAATCCACAATACTACATTAATAAATGATACAGTCTTTTACAAGACAATATAATTATTTCCTTTAGAACTGTATGATTTCTAAAAATGTTGAGATCAATAAACAGTCCAAAATTCAATCAGTGAACGCTATTTTAAGTCCATGTTCTTTCTACTCAACTGGCACAGACTGACCTGTGTAAACACTGTCCACTTTAAAGTTTTCAGACCTTTTGAATTAAAGTTTGAAAAATTCTTCATTAATTCCTAAGATATACACCATTGCGTGATTTGTTCCCATGCATTTCTTTCTGGCCTAGGAAGCCTGTCTATGTTTAAATAACTAAATATGTTTCAATTGCATTGTTTACCCATGATGATTTCAGAAATTGTTCAGGTTCCATTCCGATTGTTGAACCCAACAAGGTATTCAAATTCATTTTAAGTGATTATGCCCATGCTTCTTGAAGTTGTTGTGCATTTGCACATGTAAATATCATACATTTTAGCATATTAAATTATTTATTCAGAACTTTACCAGATTCGTCATGTTTTAAAAAATAATAGGAAGACATGTAAGGTGACACTAATGTGTAAGCATCATATTACTACTGCCGTGATGATGGGTTTCTTTAACAAAACAGACAGTACAAGGTCATACTGACAATGACTAAAAGAAAAGAACACTGCTACACCATGCTTAAGGTGTTACTATAGCTGTGCACTTTTAACCTTTCATTGCTAATTATAAATAAGAAAATTTAAAAGAAAAGACATCAAAAATTGCATAAAAACACACAAATAAAAGTTTATCATTTACCCATGATCATCTTGATGGAAAAATCCGGTTTTCTTTCTTGAAAATAAATCCTCAAACACTCAAACAAAAACACAATTAATCTGAATTCAAACTCTTGCTGCAACACATAATTTTTACAATGTTCAAATCAATGTTTGGCTATAAATGGCTGTTTAGAGATTCTTAAACTGAATTAGGATAAAAATAAACACTATTCCGTAATCACATTATCTTGTTGGCGGCACCTGTTCTGTTTACTTACAAAATAAAAATCGGCAACTTATCTGACCAACAAAAAGTCACAATGCCTTGATGACGTTACCACTGTAGTTCACAAGATTTCACACGTAGACGTCATTTATTGTGTGTTTGATAAACTGAGAAAATACCCCTAATCCACTACCAAATGTTCTTATTTTGTTTCTAACTAGCGTATCATTATCACTGATTAAAGGACCCGCATGGCACCTGGGGTAATATATAAATAGGTATGTAAACTAAATCAACACTGATTTGATTTTATTAATGAATTGACCAAAAGTTTGTTATAACCTCCTATATACTACCTGATGATATTACAACAATTTATTTTTCTTGGTGAAAATAAATATAAGCTAGAAGTTTATCTTTTCTCCTTTGTATCAATATCTTCCACACACCTTGATTTACATTTCATCTAGACTATTATTTAGGCAAATTAGGAAGACTCCATGGCCAGGGATATACACATTAATTTCAAGTCACAACTTTTAACCACGGCACTTGGGGTATGGATCCCCCCTTCCATTTTTCTTTTCTTTTTAAATCTTGGGTCAAGATTTGTATTCTAATATGGACTATATATTATCAATAATGTAACTCTTTTGTCTCTATAAGCTGTTTTTAAAAATATCGTTTTTGACTGATACATAAAAAAAGGTGACTCGACCCAAGATTTGAAAAGAACAGAAAAATGGAAAGGGGGGTCTATACCCCAAGTGCCTGTGCTTGTAACACTTGCTTCTAAAACTGTTTGTGAAAGGGAAGAAACTTTATCTAAAGAACCTTATTTTCCTCCCCCCCCCCCTCATTCAATCAAATGAAATCTGCACATATAGTCTAGTGTTATGCACTGATTATGTAAAGCAAAATCATGAAAATTGATTAAGATCTTTGGAAGTATAGTGAAATTACTCATTTCACTTTTTACTTTTCATAATATTTTGGTATGAAGAAAGCCTTCAATTGATTTCCTTTATAAAATACTATTTTAAAGTTCAAATACATGTAAACATTTATTATAATCTCAAATCCCCACAAACTAAAGTCTCTCCTTAAACCCTGAAAAACTGACCATAAGAAAATATGAGATTTCACAATAATGGCCACTTATTGACTTAATGTTGTCAGTTGCTCTCAGTTAAATTGCTCTTGGTTAAGTTGCACGATGCGCTTCTTTAAAGAGAACACTGAGACCCTTAAACCTGAGCCCTGGTTGGGACTTGGGACTTCATTTTTTACAACCTGTGACATATGCATTCGACACCCTATTGCTTATGTACAAAATCTACAATTCTCTAGAAACATGACTTGCAGCACTTCCTTAACGAGATGGATTTTAACAAAGAGGAAAAATATGTCACTAGGTCAAAAGGTGTACTGTCTGCAAATTTAAAGATTTTATTTATAACATTGTATTCAAATTAAGATATTGTACATGTATGTATAAAGTAAGTTTCATGTGATATCAAGAAAACAGTACATGCTAGAGTCTGTTTCAGTGAGTGAGAGACTGAAGCAAACATGTAAATTTTGAGACAGTAAATCTGTATTCTCTTTAGAGAAGTGGATTAGCTTTCACCTTGAAAATGTGGATGAAGGCGAAGCCCGTCCACTTCTCTTAAGAGAATAAGTGAATCTGTACACCGTAATTCATTTGTCTACACATTAAAAGTTTGATGAATATTCATTAGCCACAGAAGTTGGCAGTTTTATCAATAAAATTAAATCAATGTAAACATAGCCTATGAGCTTCGCGAGCAAAGTGAGCTTGCTTCTCTTATAAAGCTCATAGCCTATGTTTACATTGGTTTATTGATAAAACTGCCGACTCCTGTACATTAGCCTATGTACATCTCATACCAAAATCTAAACAGAGGAAATTCGGGAAAGGGATTTCAAAGTAAACAGGTCCAGTACAATCAGTACATTTAGCTACGTAGGTAGAATTACCTATGTAGCTTTATTTACCTACCTCAGGTAGCTTGATTTAGCTACCAAATGAATTTATTTCTATAAAAAAGCATTTTTTTTCAGGATGTGCAAAACTATTATTTTGATGCAGTGATCATTTTCAACTTTGAACTCATCTGAAAACAATTCATGAAAAATTCCCTCTTGAAGAAATTTCTTTTTCTGCGCAATTGCAATCAAAGTTCTGAAAGTTTTGGGGCTATGTATGACAGTTAGAACAGTTACTCCTTGAATGAAATGACAAAGAAGTCCAGTTCTGGTTAACATAATAATAGGTCGGTAATTATTCAGCACAATGTGAAGTAATCATACTCAGTCATGCCTCACCGCATGGACAGATAACCAAACAATGGAATTACATGTTTTGCTCTAAATTGACCAAACACAACAATGTTTAAACTATCTCTGCTTTGGAATGTTTTTTAAAGTCTCCCTAGTATAAATATCAATAGTCATTTAATTGCGATTTTTTGTCTCTTTTCCATAAAAGGAAAAGTTACATTGAAATAGCTAAATCAAGCTACCTGAGGTAGGTAAATAAAGCTGCGTAGGTAATTCTACCTACGTAGCTAAATGTACTGATTGTACTGGACCTGGTAAATAAGCACATTTTTACAAACTTGCCTTATAGTAATCAAAAATGACTAAATTTTTGTGCTGTATATCAACATTTACTCCACAGTCAAATTTCTCTCCCTGCTTTAGTTTAAATTCTATTTCGTACGCGCGCACTGAGCACTCTGTCTTCTGCCACAGTACCCTCGAAGGTATTTGACAGCTTATTGGACACAATTCCAAGTTGTGTAACAAAAAGCCACAAAGCACTTCGTGATTTACTGAAATAAAAAATACTAAATTGTACGTTTACCTTTATCGAAAGTCAAATGAAATCCAAACTGCCTTCGACCAAACGACCATGTAAACAAATCCAGTTGACTTCCGTAAATGTTATCGAACAATTTGATTGGTTCACCTTATTTACTACAATCCAATCAAAAGACGCGTATCATGATCACGCTCTCTCTCTCTCTCCTCTCTCTCTCTCTCTCTCTCTCTCTCTCTGATGTCATTGGCATTTTACATTTTTTTAACATACACACACATAATACATTTTTAATTTTCTTTGTACATGTTGTAGTATATATAAATTTTTCTATTGTTCCACATTTTTTTCCTTTGACAAGAACATGGGCGAATGGAAAATGCTCAAGTTAAATGTGATCACAGGTACTTGTGGACAGCTATAGCTAGGACCCATGGCTAGGACCCCCCTTCCACCCACCCCCGATAAGCAACATCGGGGCTTATTGGAATTTTTTTTTTTCATAAATCATACTGATTGTATTGAATTATTCATTATATAAACAGTGTAGTTTTAAATAGAAAAAGATTTAAAAACCCCAAATTATCGTTCCACAAAAATATATTATAAGAAAATTTTCTCTTATAGTTATAATTAGTGGGGTATTTTTTAAGGAGCGATTATTTTGGGGGATTTACTATTTTTTCCTATTGTGCACATGATGAATAAAGTGTAATAAATATTTTTAAAATTGTGGAAAAAAGTCCAATAAATGAAAGCCCTGGGGTTGAATATCAGGGGTGAGGTGGGTGAGTGGGGAGTCCTTTCAACAAGTACATAATATGTACCTACATGTATGCATTGTTACAACGCATTTGAAAAATTACGCACTTTGAAATTTTTTTTCAAAGTGCGTCAGATTTGGGACCAAGCTAACGCACTTTGAAAAAAATATCGACCATATTAATGCACTTTGAAAAAAAAGTAAAGCTTGATCAATGCTCTCACAAAAATCGGTATGATATATAATTGATCATGGTTGGATAATTCTGGTTCATGGTTGAGGTCACTTCAGGACATGAGATATAAGTTTTGAGAAAAGTTATAATTATTAAAGGGAAATTGGTCTTTTAGAAAAAAAACAGAGAAATAATTTTTTAATATCATTATTTTCTTTCTGGTTAAAAATTTAAGTCTGTATTGGGTAGATGTACTGTAAAGGGGGTGGGGTGGGGGCTAAAAGTTAACGACTTAAAGCATTGAATTTATCTTAAGAAAAAGGGGCAATTTGATTTTTCAAAACTATGAAAGTTCTTTCTCTCTCATACGTTTTACTGTACTTACATTTTTTCTTAGATTTCATTTGTATTGAAAGTATTGAACGTCATACCATTTTGTAAATACATATTATACATACATGTACCTGTTTTGGGTATAGCATATATAGGCATCGAAACTGGGCTAAGGGTAAGAGGAGGGCGCTAAGCCCCCCACTTATTTTGGAAAGATATAATCATATAAGTATATTGAAAAATGCGGCTTATCTTTATCTCTCCCCTCCCCCGTTTTTTGTTACCGCGACGTCTACCGTAAATCTGGAAATTTTTGCGTCGATTTTATTTTGCTAATTTGGGTCAAAATGCTGTTTATTAATTTTTACGTTTCAAAATCTTGCGAATGACCACTAATTTTTTAGATTTTCTTATTCTTGTATTGTTTTAAGGAAAATATTTTTGCGAGTGATATGAACTGCAAATTTGCTAAAAATTTATCTACAGCAAAAAATTCTAGATTTAGTCTGCACGGTCCATCTTTTTCTAACCCCCCTCCCCCCACACATGGCCACCTCCACACACAACTAGATCTGTAAAGTGTTTCTCCGACAATCTTGATTTTTATTTGAACAGTTTTGTTCTCGTGCATACATTTGACATAATAATGAATCCTTATTTACTAAAATGCATCGTTCTGTTAGTTTTTTACTGGTGCTTTTATTCTTATGTGTTGATTGCTTTGTAACAATCTCCCATGCAGAGTTGTCGTTCGTTTCTCTCTCAGTGAATGTATGAGCCGATGGTAGAGAGTGGCTTTGTAACTGCTCAAATGACTTCTACGACCCCTACTAAATCTTATCATGGAGGCGACTCGGCTCTTCTTCGTTCCTTACAAGACGAAATCAACACCCTTAAACTAGAACACACTTCAACTCTACATCAACTTTCCTCAACATTGAATCAACTCTCATCTACTCTCTCTCAAATGGCCGATTTACGGCAGAACGTCACTTCCGCCTCCAACTGGAAGCGGAAGTTAAAGATCTCAAAAATCAGAGCTGTGAATGTAATTATAGTTCTGCAGAAAACAGTAGTGAGTCTTCTCTTTCCAGCATACAACAAGTAAAAGAAGCGATAACATTTAATCTGGAGCTGGATATGAAACAACAGAATGCAAACATCATGAGTGAAATATCTAGCGTGAAGACTAAGACTGGAGCCATGGCAATGACAATTTCTGGTTTGGTATCTTCAGGTAGGTTGAATGCATTCATTAAACATGCCAAATTGAAAAAGTTATGTTTGTTGACGCAAAATTCGGGGGAGGGGGTGTCTGCTTTTGGATTTTAACAATAATAGATAGTTACATGAAACAGACCTCAAACAAACATACCAAATCGTTACTTCCTTTTGCAAAGGATAAAATATGTATAACTCTTTAAATTGTTTATATTGTAATCGGCACATTAATGTCTTTTTTTCAAGTTTCTTGCAGAAGAAAATCAATCAATAAATAAATATAAGCAAAAAAGATCCATAAAAACAAATAGACGACAGAAAAAACCGTTAAATTTATACTTGGCGCACAGCCCCAAGTTCGAATTTGACGGATTAAGAGAAGTCAAAAGTGATTTAAGTCAGGCGAGTGTTGTAGCCCATGGCCTGGGCTCCTCGTTTTATTTTATAAAGCGGGCGAACAGTTTGCTCACATGATAATTAAAGCAAAGACATTTTTACGCAAAATTATCACCTGAGTTAATCCACCCTACTCCTATACATAATTTTATATCTATTCGCATGCAAAAGTGTGATCCTTGAATGTTTCTCATATCCCAATCCCGGAGAAACCTTTTAAATATTTTAAGTATTTTTGTTTTTATGACGTCACAAACCAGTCAGATTTTATATCATTTTTAGAAAGAGGAAAAATGGGCAAATTTCAACAATTTTAGCTTTAAAAGAACTCGGTTCACTTCCTATCATATTTGGCCCTGACAATTTCCAAAAAATTTAGTTCAAACTGAATCAAAACTATATAGTGGAAATAAATCTTGGATATATGCTTGCTTAAAATATATATTAAAAATTTGAGAATGTGTCCCTGTTTAACTATTTATTGGGGGTCAAAACATGCAAGGAATGCATATTTCCGGAAAAATCGTTAAAAATCAACTACATAAAAGCATTTTTCAATAGGTGCCCATCATATCACCACTTTGAAATTTTCTCATTTGAAACAATGTTTTAAAAGCATTCTTTATGCACAAAATTGTAATGGTGATATTGTGGGCACCATGTTTAAATTAAAAGAACATGTTTATTAAGTAGTTGATTTTTAACGATTTTTCCGGAAATACGCATTCCGTGCATGTTTTGACCCCCAATAAATAGTTAAACAGGGACACATTTCTAAATTTTTAATATATATTTAAAGCAAGCATATATCCAACATTTATTTCCACTATATAGTTTTGATTCAGTTTAAACTTAATTTTTTGGAAATTCTCAGGGCCAAATACGATAGGAAGTGAACCGAGTTCTTTATAGAGCGCAAGTTTGCTCAGGAACACTATTTACATATTTCATTGATATTATCATTCTACACATTACAACAAAATATTGAGTCTGATCAGACCTGCGCTCGGTGACTTTTACTCAAAATGTCGACGTAATTTATACATTTTCCGTAGAAATGATGGAAATTCTAAATTTTCGTCATTTTCATGACGTCATTTCAAACATATGACGTCATTGCTAATGACAATATTCAGTGCTTCGAAGTCAGCATATATCCCTCTGTTTAGTTACATAATTAAATATTTTTCGGTCAAAGTTTGATTGGGGGGGGGGACGGATATTTAGACACACACAGGGACCGATCTTCCTTAAGCTTAGGTTATAGGGAGTTGTGGTACATATGTATAAAATATTAGCAAAAGTTCAAACATATCATTTAGGCCTCTCAAAATATTGTCATGTTCTAAATTTTGAATTTACCGGGTGAAAGTAAATACAAGATTTAGAACATGACAACAAGTCAACTAGTCCCACCGGTAAATTCAAAATTTACAATATCTTGCGAAAACGAAAGCGTTATAACAGGCAGAAATTATGAAATCATGGCCTTGTCCTTTGATCTTTTGTCCTCAAAATTAATGTAAAGGACCTCTCAAATAGGCTTCAAATTGAGCCACAGGAATTTGTTTTATAAAATTTCCTTGAAAAAGTAAGGCTCCTCGAGATATTTCGCGGAAACGAAATTGTTACAGACACTGTCAGACAAACGGACGGTGAAAGCGGGGGACAAAAAAAGTAATTTTACACATTTTTAACATAGTTTCAGGTATCCAGAAGCAGATCTATTTTTCTGCCGGAACAGTTGGAGACGTAAGCAAACAATGGAGCCCACAAGAAACAATCGTATTTCCACATGTGACAAGTAATGTTGGGGGAGGATATGATGCAACTTCCGGTGTGTTTACCGTACCACAAAATGGCGTCTATGTTTTATTTTGTTCTCTAGCCACGCATTCCAACGGCATGATTGCTAAAATGGTAAGAAATGGCAGCCCTCTTCATGGAATTGCAGTTTCTGCAAGTGATGGTCAAATTGATACTGGAAGTAATGTTGTTGTGGTATACCTTCAGAAAGGAGACATAGTGTGGATACAACAACATTCCACTGGAGCGTTTTTGTGGACAATAGCTGATGCTCCTCTGTCAACATTTTCAGGATTTCTTCTTCAATAAGATAGAGATATTGGGGCATTCTGTATCTACATGTACTGTCACAGTGGAACCTTCATTTGATCGTTGCATTAATATATTTAAACGTATGTTATAAATACATGTACAGTACTATTAGTATATGTTGTACTTTTGGTAGTTAGATACTAATTAAATGTAGAAAAAATAAAAAAAGTAATACATTTATTTTAATATTTATTTATTATCACCATCCTCTGTGTAAAATAATTTTCTGTTAATGGACTTCTGTTTTTTTTTTACTTTTACATTTGATTTAGCTTCATTTAGATCTATTTAAATTGAACAGAATAAAAAAAAACACGAATTATATTTTGATCGAACACTCTTCAGAAAAAAATTTCGCTGACAACTACTTCAGGAACATGTCTTCTGACCTTTTCTCAGTCAGTCAGTGTACATGTATTATGATATATCTTCAACATTGTATGCGTGTGACAATAAATTATAACAAAGCAAGATCTATTTGTGAAACACTGATGCCCCCGTATGGCAACATAGCAAAGATTAAACTTTTCTTAAATGCGAATTCAATATATTGGTACCAAAAGTAGGGTATTCTCACTGGAAATACAATTGTGATATATGAAAGTAGTATTCAATAAAAGGTCTTACCACAAAAAATACATATGATATGTAAAATATTGAAGCCCTATCCCTTATAGTTTATTAGTTATGGTCAAGGATAATTTTTTTTAAAAAGTAGGTTAAACTCCAAGGTCAAAGGTCTTGCTATCAAATGAAAGGTCTGTCACAAGGATAAAAATATGTAAAGTATGAAAGCACTAGCCCTAACCCTTTAAAAGAAATGGTCAAGGTTTGCTTTTTAAAAGTAGGTCAAACTCCAAGGTCAAAGGGTCAAAGTTCTTAAAACCAACAAAGGGTCTTCTCACAAGGATTACATAAGTAAAGTATATGAGATCACTATTCCTTACCGTTCTAAAGTTATGCCTAAGATCAAAAAAACTTTCAGTAGTAAAAAAATCGTCAAGGTTAAAAGGTCAAGGTAATTGGTATCCAATGAAATGTCTTGCCACAAAGAATACATATGTAAAGTATGGAAGCCATAGCCCTAGCCGTTCAGAAGTTATAGCCAAAGTTAAAAATTTTTAAAAGTAGGTTAAACTCCAAGGTCAAGGTCAAATGGTCAAAATTCTTGGTACGTATCCAATGAATTGTTTTTTCCCGAGGATGACATATATGAAGATGTATACAAGTAATATTATTTGGGAAACCAGTGACAGCCAGGAAAGTCTGGATGACAACTGAGAAAAGTTCAGTGACAACCTGGAGAGACAGGAGACAACCAGGAGAGACAGGGATGAGAGGTGTGGAGGCTTGGCAGGCCAAAGCACAACTTCCGTGAGGAAGAACCCATTTCATCACGCTATGGACTGATACATACTTAGATACCCCCGACGTCGCGCGAGAGCGGGGGAGGATGAGCGACCTGTTGGGACAGAAAATCAGGATACAACCAGGCAACGAAAAACGACGACGATTACGAACAGTGGAAATGTATGCAGCTGTGGGAAAGTATGCAAGAATCAAAAGGGGCTTAAAATCCACATGGGGAGTATGGGATGTAAGCCAGATCAGCAGAGAACACAATGCACAGGGCAACCTGGTGAGACGGAGGAGGAAATGGTTCAGGACGAAAACCACAGCGACCGCAGCCTCCATGTGTTAGGTAATTATGAAACTTCATACAGTGAAAGTCATGACAGCGAGGACAACAACCAATCACAGAGCAGCAATCAACAGCAAGAAGAGATGGGAGACAACAGGGGTACTGACAGCAATATAAGAAAGAGGAAAGTAAAATGGCCAAACAGTAACAACAAAAGTGACTGGGAACAGTTTGACCAAGATGTGGATGCAATTCTGAACACAACCCTTGCAGGCAGTATTGACAGGAAAATAGAAGCTATGACATCAATTATATACAGCGTAGGTCTAGACAGGTTTGTTGCAGAACAAAGGAAAAAGTCACAAAAAGAAGGAAGGAAGAACAGGAGAGAGAGGGAAATAGCTAAGATGAGAAAAGACCTGCGGCAGCTTCGTAAGCAGTATAGGAAAGCTACAGATGAGGAGAAAACGGCACTATCACATTTACGAGATAACATCAGGGAGCATCTCAAGATAGCAAGAAGAGCAGAGAGAAGCAGGCGTAGAAGGAAACAGCGAGAAAGAGCAAGAGCAAGATTCACTGCAGACCCATTTCAGTTTACATCAAGATTACTAGGAAAGAAAGGTTCATTGAAATCTTCGAAGGAAGACGTTGAGGAATATTTAAGGGAGATGCACAGTGATCCACATAGGGAGGAAGAGTTAGGGGAGTGGGAGCAGTTGATACACCAGGAAGAACCAAATCAACCCTTTGATGAATCACCACCAAGACTAAAAGAAGTAGTAGATGTTATCAAGAAAGCCAGAGCAGCATCAGCACCAGGACCAAATGGGGTTCCATATAAAGTTTATAAGAATTGTCAACGGTTGACAAAGCGCCTCTGGAAACTGATAAGAGTGGTCTGGAGGAGAGGCCGATTTACAGATAGCTGGTACAGAGCAGAAGGCTGTTTTATTCCCAAAGAAGAGAAATCAGAGACACTGAAACAATTTAGGACTATCTCGCTCCTGAACGTAGAAGGGAAGATATACCTTGCAATTTTAGCAAGGAGAATGTCTAGGTACATGCTTGAGAATCAGTATATTGCTATCGCTGTGCAGAAAGGAGGAGTACCCGGAGTATCAGGATGTATTGAGCACACAAGTGTACTTACACAGATAATCCGGGAAACAAAGGAGTCTAAAGGGGAGTTGGAAGTTATCTGGCTAGATCTAGCCAATGTATATGGGACAGTTCCCCATTAACTAGTCGAGTTGACACTTGAAAGATACCATGTACCAGAGAAGACAAGGGTAGTTTTAAAAGACTATTTTGACCATCTTCAACTAAGATTCACAGTACAGGATTACACTACAGCATGGCAACGCTTAGAAGTTGGAATAGTCAAAGGATGCACCATATCCGTAATCCTATTTTCAGCAGCAATGAACATGATAGTCAAGTCAGTGGAGAAGAAGAGCAGTGGGCCATGATGAAGTCAGGAGTACGCCAACCACCTGGGAGAGCATTCATGGATGACATGACAATTACAACCAAGACAGGTATTGAAGCCATAGGACAATACATGAACTAGAATCAGCTAACACTTGGGCAAGAATGAAAGTAAAACCAAGCAAGTCTCGTAGCTTAGTTATAAAGAATGGAAAAGTAAAAGAAGTAAGATTCAAGATAGAAGGAGAGGCAATACCAATAGTCTCAGAGAAGCCAGTAAACTTAGGGAAATTCTTTAATGACACTTTAACAGACAGACAAAATGTGAAAGAAACATGCAGACAGCTGGATGAATGGATGAAAACTGTGGATAAAAGCGGACTGCCCGGTAAATATAAAGCCTTGATATACCAACATGGGATACTGCCTCGCTTGCTGTGGTCGCTATTGGTGTATGAGGTACCAATGAGCACAGTAGAAGGGATGGAAACAACAGCGAGCAGATACCTGAGGAGATGGCTGGGGGTACCACGAAGTTTCAGCAGCATTGGATTATACAGCTCTGGGACTAAGCTACAGTTACCTCTAAAGTCAATAACTGAGGAATTCAAGGTGACAAAGGTGCGTCAACACTTAATGTTACAGAATAGCAAAGACGAGAAGGTTCGGACAGCAAAAGTAGATATCAGGACGGGGAGAAAGTGGTCAGAAAAAGAAACTATACAAGAAGCTGAATCCCGCTTGAGACACAGTGACATTGTGGGAAGACTGGCAATAGGAAAGCAGGGACTTGATGTCACACCAACAGCAAGATGGGGTACAGCTTCGGTAGAAGAGAGGCGTAGTTTGGTGCAGAGAGAGGTGTGTGCAATGGAGGAAGATTCGAGAATGGTCAAAGCAGTTGGAATGAAGAAACAAGGTAGCTGGGTGAACTGGGAAAACGCACGTCAAGTGAAGCTGGGATGGAATAATATTTGGAAGATGGAACCATTCAGACTTCAGTTTAAGCTGAAATCAGTTTACGATGTTCTTCCCAGCCCAACTAACTTGGTAACATGGGGAATGACAGATGATCCAAAGTGTGTGCTCTGTGGTAAACCAGCAAACTTGGAGCACATATTATCAGCTTGCTCAGAAGCTTTGAAAGATGGGAGATACACTTGGAGACACGATAGAGTCCTAGCCAGTATAGCTGACACCTTGGAGAAAGGTATTAAAAAGCCAAAGAAGAAGGCAGAGAGCCTGAGATTTGTCAACTTTGTGAAAGAAGGTGAAAAGGGACACAAAGTTAGAGTTGAAGGAAGTGGTCTGTTGGGGACAGCGACAGATTGGCAGATGCGGGTAGACCTTAAGGAAAGATTAGTATTCCCGCCGGAAATAATAGCCACAAACAAGAGGCCGAATGTAGTCCTTTGGTCAATGGCTACAAGACAGACAATTATTATGGAATTAACAGTGCCATGCATGCATGGGAAGACAGGATGGAGGATGCATATGAAAGGAAAAATCTTAAGTACCAAGACCTACTGAAAGATTGTCAGCAAAACGGATGGAAGGTCTGGTTTTATGCAGTGGAAGTGGGTTGTAGGGGATTCGTGGGACAGTCTATGTGGAGAGCACTGAGAGCCATTGGCATAACGGGAGCAGAGAGAAGGAGACTGATAGGGAGTCTGTGCAGGGAGGCGGAATCAGCGTCCATGTGGTTGTGGAGAAGAAGAGCGGATAAGTGGAAAGACAATAAACATTAGTGAGATAGACAGTAAAGTAGAACAGCAGTGATGTGAATAAACAACAGTAAGACAGACACTGAATTAGTACAGCGGTGATGTAGAGCCAAGTGGTTCCAGGCTGGGACTTGATCGCAGAAACAGCGCCGAAACAGCCGATGAAGGAGGATCCACCTGAGGATGGAACCACGCATCTTTCCATCAAGATGTATACAAGTAAAAAAGTATGAAAGCTCTATCCCTTACCGTTCAAAAGTCACGGCCAAGGTTAAGGGTACGGAAAAGTATTTTTTACAAGTACGGAAATCATCAAGGTCAAAAGGTCAAGGTAATTGGTATCCAATGAAAAGCCCTTTTTACAAGAAATGTATATGTGAAGTATAAATTTCCTGAAATCTACTGTTCCAAAAATATGGCCAAAGTAAAACTTTTGTGAATTTTTATGTAAAAGTGTGTCAAACTCCAAGGTCTAGGTCAAAAGGTCGTTGGTACCCAAAGAAAGATCTTGTCACAGGAAATACACGTGTGAAATATGAAAGTCATAGCACTTTTACACAAAAATTCCAAACTTTTACTTTTACTTTGGCCACATCTTTTTAACAGTAGATACCAGGACATTTATACTTCACTTATACTCTCGTAATTAAACGACTTTTATTGAATACCAACACTCTTGACCTTTTAATCTTGACCTTGAAGAATTCCGTACATATGAAAAAAAAATTACTTTAGCAGTAACTTTTCAACGGTGAGGGTTAGAACTTCCATATTTTAAGTATGTAATTATATTATATTAAGAAAGACCCTTCATTGGAGATCATGAAATTTGACCTTGGAGTTTTACCTACTTTTAAAAAAACAAATCTTGACCATATCTTTGAAAGGGTAAGAGCTATAGTGTTTTCTTTAATACTTTATTTATTTTATCCTTGTGACAAGACCTTTCATTTGATATCAAGATCTTTGACCTTGACTTTAGAGTTTGACCTACTTTTTAGCCTTGTTTCTAGTTTTTAATCTTGGTAATAACTTTGAAACGGTTAGGGCTAGGGCTTGCATACTTCACATATGTAATCCTTGTGGCAAGACCGTTTATTTGATATCTGTAACATTGACCTTTTGACCTTGACCTTGGAGATTTTCGCACTTATGAAAAACTTTAATCTTGGCAATAACTTTTGAACGGTTGAAGCTAGGGCTTTCATTATACACAAATGTATTTTTTATTGCGAGACCGTTTATTAGATACAAATAACTTTGATCTTTTGACCTTGACCTTGGGGATTTTCAAACTCATTAAAAAACATTAACCTTGGCAATAAATTATGAACGGATGGAGTTAGGGCTTCCATACTACACATATTTATTCTTTGTGATAAGACCTTTCATCGGATAGTAATAACCTTGACCTTTTCACCTTGACTTAAGAGATTTCCGGACTTATGAAAGAAACATAAATCTTCAGATTTGCATATAGTGGAAGTTTAGTTATTAATCAAGAGCGGTTTGAGTCTGTACGGCACAGGTGCAGTCGCAGATGTTGTAAATAAGACACAGGTATACAGTCATAGATATAAGCTCTAGTAAATGTAACATTTTTTGAAATTATAGCGATCCACACAAGGATTTTAAGCATAGTCAGGTCTAATTTTAACTGTGTTTTAAAAGCCATTTATCGTAACCTTTTGGCGAATACAGCCTTCCATAAAGTAGATTTATTTGAAGACAGATCTTTTTTCCCCTCCATATATCACTAATATATTTCGTTTTCATGATCTTACATTAGTTACTTACGTTGAACAATCCGGAAAAATCTTGCTCTGACATTCCGTTTTGGATATTAGTGAGCAGGTACAGTCATCCGGTACCACTACCAGTAGTGCCGAGTACAATCGAATCAATCGTGGATGTTGTTGACAGACCCCACTCTCTGGTTTTTAGATCTGCCTTTGATTCCAGTCATGGAGGAGGAGGACGTTAAGTTTGATAAGCGGATATTTGAGGGTCTAACTGCCCAGGGACTAAATAAGCTACAGTTTGCTATTGTCAAACTAGAGTCTTGCAATGGGACAGAAAGTATTTCATTTTCAGAAGCCTCTTGTGGATATGAAGTGTTAAGGGACAAAATAAAACGACGACCATGTTTTTTCCCGTTTACATCAATCTTCAAAGACGGCGTTTCTTTCTTGCAAAATTTGGAAAAAGCAAGCAACGATGACATTAAAAATATGGAAGGCTACATGAAAGATGCTGCTTTACGCCTTAATGCATTTTACAAAGCTAAAGGTGAGAATAGAAATTACTTTGGTAGGCATTGGCAGGGGATACAGTCATTTAGGGTATTCCGAATCACCTCGCATTTCGTGACACTCAGTAATCTACCTTATCACTGTATCGTATACAACACACGCACACGTGTGACAACTGGACAACCAGTAGTTATCAACAACATGGCTCATACTTAATACATACAAAAAATGAAGAGGTGGTAAAAAAAATCCACCCGGGGATAATTTGAATGGGTCGGTCGGGTTACATGAAACAAACATTTTTTTTTTTAGGCCTTGATAGAACGGAAATTTTATGAGCTTCCATAAGCATTTATAATTTTTTATTACACCTTAAAAATGTATTTGTTACAACGGCATTTGAAGCCCCCTTCAGTTTGGGGGATTTCAAATCACATGTGTATGACTGCAGCAGAAGAAATTGCACACACTGCATACTTGTTATATGTCAGATATTTTTATAATATTGGTTTTCTTTAAATTTAAATGCAAGGGGTATGACAGTTATGATCTGACAAAACAGTGAATAGTAAATGAGTAGCAATGGTACACTTGACGAGTGTTGATCCTCGACCTTGTCATGTACTAATGTGGACTTGGCGTCTTGCAGAATCAGAATCAGAAAATTTTATTTTGAGTCGGATGATTATAACAGAAACATAAGCTCTGTAGAGCTTTTGACCGACATTATAATTATATTAGAATGACTATATACACATATAAAACAGTTAGAATTACACTGTCATGCATCACAAACAAGCATATATTTACACATACACACACAAAAGGACAAAGAAAGCACATATATCATGCATATAAATAAGACAAACACAGAAAATAAATATAAATGACTGTCCAAATAGCACTTATGCTCTTTAAAAGAATAATAGTCTATGATTTATATATTTTGATAAAAATAATCTATATATTTTGATAAAAATAATTTATATATTTTGATAAAAATATAGCAAATTTGTCAAGTTAAAAGTACGCATATATACCTGTACACATATATGTACACTGTGCACACATGCAGTGATTTAAGTCATATTAAATAACTGTGATACATGTATTTAAACTAGAGCTAGTTTTATTCCTTTTCATGAATTATGATATTTTCAATGTTAATTGTATCGAAAAAAAATCAGGGGGGGGGGGGGGGGGGGGGGTAAAAAAGTGACATAATTTATAAGTATTTACAGTATTTACAGGACAATAATTTACAGCCATGTAATTTCTGAAACCCCTATATTGTTTGTAATAATTGCTTTTCTGCATATTATGAGAAGCTGCTTTTATAGTGCAACTATAGAAGGGGGGTTAATAACTAATGTTTTTTTGTAGAGCGCAATGAATCCTGTCTGAAAAAAGTCTTTGACATCAGACTAAATAGAGAAGAAATGGCAGTTACAGAGACAGATATAAGCATTACACTTGCAGAGCACTTGCTTGGAAAGTTAGCTCCTGGGGAGTCCTACAAAATTGATGATAAAGCAAGGGGAGAGAAGAGTTGCAGGTGTGGATGTAAAGTGACACCTGTATTTGGTGGAACAGGAATAGGTATGAAAAAAAAAAGTTATGAAGATATGCCTATAAGTAGGTTTGGGATTTACCTAGTAACTTATTTCATTGAACAGAGCTTAAAAATGAGAAGATGTGTAACAGTCATGCACCATGTTAAATCTGACAAGACAATGGTGTGTAAAGAGTAAAACTAGTATTCTTTAATTACCATAATTTTTTCTAATGATAACCCTTAGGACAAAAACAAAACAGTCTCATTTCCTGCTACCCAACCTACTCTATTTTTTTGCACCCGACCCTAAAGTTTTTTTTAAAGTTTTGGGAAAAAAAATTAGGAATTTAAGGAATTTCATGTTCAAAAACTTAAAAGTGAAGAAAAACAGTATAATCTGATGGCATTTTATGAAACTGTATGGTAAAGATGTGATAATATCTAATTTTAAAATATAATGTTGACCTAAAACATGTTGTATTTGGTTTTGAATTAGTTCATATTCATATCCAAAAAATACCATTGGAAGAAATAAAATGAAACTAGATGCTGTCATGAGACAGTAATACCCGCACTATGGTGTTTGCCTCTAAATATACACTCATTCATATTGGACTTTCCAAGGAAGAAGTCAAAATAATTCTATAATTATCACCGTACATGTATTCGTCAAATTGAACATAAAATTTTCAGATGACCATATCAACTCTGAGCCTCACATATGTATTTTAAAATACTTAATTCATAACCAGTCTGAAATAACAGAATTAATTAATGATTGAAGTAAATTACTTATAAATAATTTTCCCATAACTTGGAACTTTTTAAATTTACTTTCTCAACGACATAAAATATTATTTTAGTACAAAGCGTTTTTGATGAATTTATCAAAATGTGCAAACTGATTTTAGTATTTGGTCGGGAAAAAAACCCATTGAAAATACAACCCGATTAATTTGTCAATGCCTTTCTCCCCCCCCCCCCCTACACACACACACACACACACTCTCTCTCTCTCACTCTCACATTTTTTAAAAAACATAGTTTAGTTTATTATGATAGTTTGAAATTTGTTCTTGTACTAAACAGTTTTATTTTCTACATTCACATTGGGTTTGCGTCACCCATTATCATATTTATAGATATCACCTCTCGGCACACCTCGGCCAATTCATACTGGCAACGGAATCAGCAAAGTTTGTCGAATGAGATTATTTAGCATATGTATGCTGACGATGCAGTGTGGTCAGTTAAAATCATTTGTGTTTTAATTGGATTATGTTTCATGAATTTGTTGTCACGACCTATGACATTCGGTAAGTACAAGATTTAGTATAGATTGCATAAAAATAAATAAATGCAAATGGTTAGGTTGAAGTTCAAAAAGGGTCAACATGGTCAAAGATCATCGCATGCCACAGTCGACAAATTTCACATTGTCAAGTTATCTCCCGTTGCGGACATTCAGTATATAACAGACGCAGATCCAGATTTTTTTTCAGAAAGGGGGGGGGGGGGTGTCACACCTCAGTCAAAAAAATCAGCCCAAGATTTCCTGAGATGGAAATAAAAAATAATAATAAAAACAATGATGGTGGAGTCCCTGTTTTCTAAGGGGGAGGATGTCCAAAGTCATTTTTATTCTCTACAGTACATATATAGTCTTATTTAAATAACTGCTAATTCCGGGGGGGGGGGGGGGGGGGGGGGGGGGGGGGGGGGGGGGGGGGGGGGGGGGTCTGATCTCCCTAGCCACTGACTCCCTGTACCTGAAATGACAATTGATCTTATGACTCCATAATAGTAGAAATTTTTTTCATTTGACTATTTATACATATTTTGTTTCCTATGTTTATGTATTTTTGTCTGTCCACTGTCTTTTGGAAACTTTAACCTTGCCCATATTTTTTAAGTGGATTGGGCTATACACATGGCTTCAATATTTCATAGGTAAATTTCTTTTGGCAAAACCTTTTAATGGGTACCACCAATTTTGACTTCTTGATCTCTTGACCTTGGAGTTTGACCCAATTTTACAAGAAAATACCTTGAACTTGGCGTAAGTTTTGAACAGGTGGTGCTAGGACTTTCATGCTCTTACATGTGTAATCACTGTGAACTTTCAACAGGTATAATTATTTTTGACCTAGACCTTAGAGTTGAATCCAATTTAACTTTAACCTTGGCCATAACTTTTGAACAGGTGAGGAAGTTCTAGGGATTTCTCCCTTTTTATACGCCCGTCTTAAGACGGGACGTATTATGTTATAGGCTTCGTGTCCGTCCGTCCGTCCGTCCGTCTGTCCGTCTGTCCATTTGTGTCCGGCTCATAACTTCAATACTATTAGGCCTAGGATTATCAAACTTTGTCAACTGATACTTCTTGGGTAGACGGTGTGTCGCGCACCAAAATTAGGTCGCTCTGACCTGTAATAAAGATGCTATGGCCAAATATGGAAAAATCCTGTCCGGCTCATAACTAGAAAACTATTACACCTAGAGCTATCAAACTTGGCAAAAGTATACATCTTAGGTAGAAGGTGTGTCGCGACCTATTTCAAGGTCACTGTGACCTTAAATTTTAGTGAAATTTTTTAAAAATTTAAGTTTTTTAAATTTTAAATTTCGTAATCCTAAAAATGTAAAAAATAGAGTTGTATCCTTATTAAAAAGTATTAAATCAAGTAAAAACTTATTTTTTCATCATATACTTTTCAGCAATCTTAAACAAATTTCAGTGTTAATGAGAGGAATTCAGTTTGTCCCATGGGCATAATTATCAAGCACTGGTCAGGAAGAATTTTGATAGCAGAAAGTTGCATGTCAAATTAGAGAGAAATTAATGAGTTTAGTGTGAGGAGGTTTGGTGTTATCCCTTGGGTATTGGGCAAATGGACAGCCAGCCTAGCTGTTAGATTAAAAATGGCTCTTGGTGGCTAGCTATCTAAGTTTTAAAATGAATTTGATAAAAAGTAATTAAAACTTATTTGATATTGCATAATAAACTAATAATCTGATATTATATAATATTAATTAATTAAAAACTAATTTTATGGGGTGGGGTTGAATCAGCATGCCTACTTGACCATATGAATTAAATATAAAACCTGTCTGGCATTAAATCTAAAAAGAAATCATGGAGTATTTTATAAAAGTGTTTTAGGATAAAAAGTGCAGATCCATTAATATTTAGGGAGTAATGAGTAGACAAGCATCCAGTCAAAGATTAATTAATGAGTTCAATGTAGGAAGGCTATCTGATCAAGCGCTGCCTTATCTGTCTTTGGGGATTAGACAGAACTGCTGGTCATAGCAAATGTCAATTAGACAGAACTGATGGTCATAGCAAATGTCATTTGATGGCCAGCCTTTCTTTTCAAAATTAATTTGGCATAGATTAAGTTGTTAAGACTAATTTGATATTGTTTATTATGATGGCTGGCATTTGACAAAGTTTAACACAAACAGTATAGAAATCTGTCAGTTATGTAATATTTGTTATAATTATGCCTACAGCACAGGGGATGGATAAAGAAATATTTTTTTTAAAAATGGAAAAATCATGGAAATCTAAGAATCAAGGTTGAAGTGATTTTCTTGCAGTCTAAACTGTTAAAGATAATTGTGTAATATTTTGACGGGCATATCATGCTGTGGCGTGGCACTTTATTTCACATGTGTATTCCTTGTGACAAGACTTTCCCTTTGATACCAACAATTTTGACCCTTTGACCTAGACCTTGGAGTTTGACTTACATTTGAGAAACTTCAACCTTTGCCAAAAGCTGCCATAACAGTTGCTGTCACAACAAACAAACAAATTACTAAAAAAAAAAACACGGAATACATGTACATATTTTATATTCAACAGATATACATCTGGTCATATCTCTAGTTCTCCCTTGAATGAGACATGGTGATATAAATTTTAAAATATAATTATAAGAGTTGAAAAGGTTGTGCATATTGAAATATACTAAGCTCTGCGGATGAATTAGATATACCAGTTTAGCTTTATTTTGCTACCCAAAGCACCTTGATTAACTATTTATAAGCATACTGTTTTCTGAAATGTACTGATTTCTGTTGTCCATCTGTTTATCTGCAAACTTTTCACATTAACTTCTTAAGAACCACTGGGCTAATTTCAACCAATTTACATTTAAATATGCAGGGTACTTTTTAAGCGCCCGGATCGATAGATCCCGGGTGTATATTGTTTTTGTCCTGTCTGTTTGTCTGTTAATCTGTTTGTCTGTTTGTCAACTTTAACCTTGGCCATAACTTTTGAACAATAAGGGATAGAGACTTCATATTTGGTAAGCATACTCCACTAATAAAGTCCTTTCAAATGACTTCAAGGTGAATGACCTTGTGACCTTGACTAAGACTTAAATGCTAAAAATAGCTTTTTCCACTGTTTGTCATAACTTTTGAACCATAGGAGATAGGGACTTCATATTTGGTATGCATACTCCACTAATAGAGTCCTTTCAAATGACATCAAGGTCAATGATCTTGTGACCTTGACTGTGACCTATATGCTAAAAATAGCTTTTTACACTTTTTGCCATAACTTTTGAACCATCAGAGATAAGGACTTCATATTTGGTATGCATACTCCACCGATTAAGTTCTTTCAAATGACACCATGGTCAATGACTTTGTGACCTTGACTGTGACCTATATTCTAAAAATAGCTTTTTCCACTGTTTGTCATAACTTTTGAACCATAGGAGATAGGGACTTCATATTTGGTATGCATACTCCACCGATAGAGTCCTTTCAAACGACGGCAAGGTCAATGATCTTGTGACCTTGACTGTGACGGATATGCTAAAAATAGCTCTTTACACTTTTTGCCACAACTTTTGAACCATAGGAGATAGGGACTTCATATTTAGTACGCATACTCCACTGATTAAGTTCTTTCGAATGACACCATGGTCAATGACCTTGTGACCTTGACTGTGATCAATATGCTAAAAGAAGTTTTTTTAACTTGGTTGCCGCCGGGCGCGTAGTGTTTCACAAACACATCTTGTTCCAACATAAATCTTCTTCTCAAGAACAGCAAAGACATTTATTGTCCCCATTTTTGCTAAAGGTAGGGTACATTAAATCTCATTTGTTTGTCAATCTGCCCATCTGTCACAATAAATTTAACCTTGGTCATCATGGTCGTATATTTTGAATGAGAAGAGATAGGACTTTTATATTAAACATTTGTATTAGTATTAAATGGGACAATACCATTCTACATACACTATGATTTTCATTACCCATGATCTTGAAGTTTGACTTAATTTCCTTAAAAAAATTAATTGCTTTGAATTGATCATTTTGAAAGATAAATGAAAGGGCATTCATATTACCTGTGATAAGACCTTCCAAAATGTATCATGACTTTTTGACTCTGTGACCTTGACCTTGAAGTTTAACTTAGTTTTCATTAATGTTGTATTTCCTTTTCATTGAGAAGAGATTTGACTTTCACATTTCAAGTGAACATTACCCATAACAAGAGGCTCCCAACATGCTATGATTTTTTACCCCTTGACCTTGATGTTTTAACAAAATTTCAAAAGAGTGAACTCTCCCAAAAGATGATAAGACCACTGTTTAAAACAAAAAAGGAGTTTAGGGAAGACTGGGCTTTTTCCATAAAAAACGTCATTTTTCAACCCTCATTTGACCCCCCCCCCCCCCGGGCAAAATCAAAATTCCGAAACCTAACTGCACATCTACATGACCCAACCAACCATCTCCCAAAGATGATTAGGATGCTGAATAAAATGTAAGAGGAGTTCTGGGAAGATGGGGCTTTTTCAATAAAAAACATCATTTTTCGACCCTAATTAGACCCCCCGGGGCAAAATCAAAACTCCGAAACCTAACTGCACATCTGCATGACCCCACCAACCATCTTCCAAAAGATGATTAGGCTGCTGAATAAAATTTAAGAGGAGTTCAGGGAAGACTGGGCTTTTTGCATAAAAAACGTCATTTTTCGACCCCCATTTGATCCCCCAGGGCAAAATCAAAATTCCAAAACCTTACTGCACATCTACATGACCCCACCAACCATCTCCCAAAAGCTGGTTAGGCTACTGTGTAAAATGTAGAAGGTGTTTAGGGAAGACGGGGCTTTTTGGACAAAAAACGTCATTTTTCGACCCCCATTTGACCCCCCGGGGCAAAATCGAAATTCCAAAACCTTACTGCACATCTACATGACCCCACCAACCATCTCCCAAAAGATGATTAGGCTACTGAGTAAAATGTAAGAGGAGTTCAGGGAAGACGGAGCTTTTTGCTTAAAAAACGTCATTTTTCGACCCCTATTTGACCCCCTGGGGCAAAATCAAAATTCCAAAATCTTATTGCACATCTACATGACCCCACCAACCATCTCCCAAAAGCTGGTTAGGCTACTGAGTAAAATGTAGAAGGAGTTCAGGGAAGACGGGGCTTTTTGGACAAAAAACGTCATTTTTCGACCCCCATTTGACCCCCCGGGGCAAAATCGAAATTCCAAAACCTTACTGCACATCTACATGACCCCACCAACCATCTCCCAAAAGATGATTAGGCTACTGAGTAAAATGTAAGAGGAGTTCAGGGAGTTTTTGCTTAAAAAACGTCATTTTTTGACCCCCATTTGACCCCCTGGGGCAAAATCAAAATTCCAAAACCTTACTGCACATCTACATGACCCCACCAACCATCTCCCAAAAGCTGGATAGGCTACTGAGTAAAATTTAGAAGGAGTTCAGGGAAGACGGGGCTTTTTGGACAAAAAACGTCATTTTTCGACCCCCATTTGACCCCCCGGGGCAAAATCGAAATTCCAAAACCTTACTGCACATCTACATGACCCCACCAACCATCTCCCAAAAGATGATTAGGCTACTGAGTAAAATGTAAGAGGAGTTCAGGGAAGACGGAGCTTTTTGATTAAAAAACGTCATTTTTCGACCCCCATTTGACCCCCTGGGGCAAAATCAAAATTCCGAAAGCTTACTGCACATCTACAGGACCCCACCAACCATCTCCCAACAGCTGGTTAGGCTACTGAGTAAAATGTAGAAGGAGTTCAGGGAAGACGGGGCTTTTTGGACAAAAAACGTCATTTTTCGACCCCCATTTGACCCCCCAGGGCAAAATCGAAATTCCAAAACCTTACTGCACATCTACATGACCCCACCAACCATCTCCCAAAAGATGATTAGGCTACTGAGTAAAATGTAAGAGGAGTTCAGGGAAGACGGAGCTTTTTGCTTAAAAAACGTCATTTTTCGACCCCCATTTGACCCCCCGGGGCAAAATCGAAATTCCAAAACCTTACTGCACATCTACATGACCCCACCAACCATCTCCCAACAGCTGGTTAGGCTACTGAGTAAAATGTAGAAGGAGTTCAGGGAAGACGGGGCTTTTTGGACAAAAAACGTCATTTTTCGACCCCCATTTGACCCCCCAGGGCAAAATCGAAATTCCAAAACCTTACTGCACATCTACATGACCCCACCAACCATCTCCCAAAAGATGATTAGGCTACTGAGTAAAATGTAAGAGGAGTTCAGGGAAGACGGAGCTTTTTGCTTAAAAAACGTCATTTTTCGACCCCCATTTGACCCCCCGGGGCAAAATCGAAATTCCAAAACCTTACTGCACATCTACATGACCCCACAAACCATCTCCCAAAAGATGATTAAGCTACTGTGTAAAATGTAGGAGGAGTTCAGGGAAGAAAAGTGTGACAGACGGACGGACGGACGGACATGAGTAACAACAATATACCCGAACTTTCTTTAGAAAGTGCGGGTATAAAAATTGTCATATTGGTGACAATGAGGGAATAATTATGGAAATAATAATTACATCGATACTAAATAATTTAGACACAGTGGAAAAGTTTTTTTTTCAATCATAAAATTTTGCTTTGGCCAAGGTGTCATTTATTTGGGCCAAGGTGTCAATAATTTTGGACCGACCTGTCAGGGCCAAGGTGTTAGACATCACGGACTGACGTGTCAATGGGTCAAGAAGTCTGTTTACTAATATTTTATGAGCTCGATCACAGTACCTTTAGTCTTCCTTGCACTCAAATCTGTGTAGATTATTGAACAATATTAAATTGATGGAATTATCATATGCTGTGGTGCATTTTATCTAGTTACTGTTGAATCACTCATTTTCGTGGATGGGGGGAGGGGTAATTTTCATTGTTTTCGAGATATTATAAGAATTTCAACCATGAATTTCAATCTAATTAAAAATTAGATGTTAAGATCCGCTCGCATACATCATAAATGCTACACTAACATCTAACAACATCCCATTGAGGGTCACATCAGGGGTCAAATTTTATCAACCAATCAAATTGTCGCCTGCAAAATCATCATATATTTGTTGAAACGAATTCATCTGGAGTTGTTCCAAATTTGACCTCTGACGTGACCCTCTATGGGATGTTGTTAGATAATACTATCAATAGTGTTGCGAGTATGCGAGCAGATCTTAACTTCTAATCTAAATTAGATTGCATGAATTTATGTCCAACACGAAATGTAAAATTTCATATTCATTACTTACTAAACATTCTCCAACTCAAAATCAAATCCCCACAAACCAATATCATTTCCTCAAACCTTGAAAATTTGACCCCATGAAAATATGTGATTTAAAAGTATATAATTACAGTGGACCCTCAGATATACGGACGCCAGATATCCGGATGCTTCAGTATCCGGACGATTTTTCATCGGAACGAAAATTTTAAATGCTGTGTTGTCTTGTTTAATTGGTGATTCAGATATCCGGATGCTTCACATATCTGGACAAATGGACTGGGAACCAAAGCGTCCGGATAAATGAGGGTCCACTGTATTTACTTTTCCATGTATTCTTATCAAAATGGTGACAGTTCAGGTCCTTTAGTCTCTTTTCTTATACTAAACTACATTATTTTTTACATTACGTGTATATCTGTGGTAATTGCAATCACATTTTAGGGCATGAACAAGTTTGGCATGGATTCATTGATATTGTCTTCTCTCCACATCTGGGAATTCCTGCTATAGCAAGCACTGTGTTGGATAGGGAAGAAAAGATTTCCAAAAAAAGAAAAGTTGAATGTGAACAAGATGGTAAGGATTATAAGATTTATTTCACTCCATTTTAAATATATTTTGTCATATCTACAATGATAGTAATAGATAAGAATCAAATTATGCACACTGGACCTTCAGATATCCGGACCCCTGATATCCGGATGCTTCAGTATTTTGATGATTTTTTTCATGGGAACGGAATTTTTTAACGTTATTTTGTCTTGTTGAACTGTAGCTGCAGATCTGTAGCCTTTTGGTTTGTCTTTGACCATAATGCTACAGATCCCTTAATGCAAATAAAGGTGCAATTTTTGATGCAATATTTTTTACGCACTTTTTGGGAGATAAGTGTTTGTGCTGAAGCACTATTGTTTTGTTTGGTCTAAATAGTGATAGTGACAAATAGGAATGTATTACATGTATCACTGGCAGGTACAGGCAAGTAAATATTAAGTAAACTTAAGGATTTGTTACCAAGTTGTAGACTACTTGTAATTTATTGATCCATGAGCATCATTTCTCTTGATTTTAGGCATTTGATATTCATCTATCAGTTTATTTATTTTATACTTTAATCTATGAATCTTTGACAGTGTTTTATTATACTCTTTGACCATTAAGGCCCATGGGCCTCTTGTATTACAATAAGATACATTCATCTATTAAGATTTGCCTTTTGAATTTCAGAAACACAGAACGATGATTCTTCAGGTCAGAGGTCAACAGAGGTCAAGCAGCATTCACTGTCACAAGCAATAGCACAAACAATTGTGTATTCTCTAGTTGAAAAGCAAAAACACCCAAATTTTTTACATCACATGATACCAAATATTGTTATTTCCCCGGAAAAGGTGGAAATTCTGATGTATGATGCAGATAGTGATGTTTTACTTTGCAGCAATCCAATTCTATTATTCAATTTAGATCTTCCAGAAGAGAGAACCCTTATTGATGAGACTGTTATTATTCTGTGGATGGTTTTACATTACAGAATATTTTGCACTGGATTCAATAAGGCAAAACCTTATGTACTTGAAAGATGTAAATCAAATTTTAGACAACTTGTTGCAAGTAAGTGGGATATCTATTCAAAATCCTTGAAGAGCTTTGTTTCTGGTTTCCCTTCTGTAGAAAAATGGCCGATAAGTAAGTTAGTTCAGTGTGGTTTAACACTTGAATTTGAGTCGGATGACTTTTAAAATGCCAAATTTACAAAATGAAGGCTTATCAATTCCAGTCATAAAGTAATGTTTGTAAAAAAATTTTAATGATGTGTACCTGTTATAGAATTAAAGTTTTCTTATATCAAGTATTCATCTTTTTTTAAAGCTGTTGTTGCATCTATTATGGTTTACCGAATGGGCATGGCGAACACAAGCAAAGTTGTACATATGCCATAGATTCAATGTTGGATTATAACAGTATTTCAGTGATCTTCCCTTACTCCCTGGCACATCTTTATGTGTCATTGTGTAGTGCCTATTTGGATATTTGTACTACAAAATTAGACAACAAAAAACCACAGACAGTCGAGTGCTGAATTTGTTTCCGATAATCAATCCCAACAAGTTTACAATTCTGCAAGAAAGCCAAATTAGATAGATGCATCATCTGTACTTTTCAACATATCATGTAAATGTACCAAGAATATCCTACTAGTATATGTATGATGATTGATCCAAAAGTAATGTCACATTGTCCCTATTTTTAGGTCACCTGAGTAACTCAGGTGACCTATTGCTATCCGTTTTCGTCCGTCGTCGTGCGTCGTGCGTCGTGTGTCGTGCGTCGTGTGTCGTGTGTTAACATTTGAACATTTTCAGCTTCTTTTCTGAAACCACTGAACCAATTTCAACCAAATTTGGTATACAGCATCTATGGGTGAAGGGGAACAAAAATTGTGAATTTCATGGTCCCCGCCCCCCTGGGGCCTGAGGGGTGGGGCCAAAACCACTAAAATTATTGCAATCTTTAAAAATCTTCTTCTTTACTCATGGACATCGAGCAGGCAAACTGTTAGCATGAATGTAATAAGCATTGAGTCCTCTACCAAAATTGTGAAATTCATGGCCCCAGGGTCAGGGGTTCTAGTGCTAGGGCGGGGCTATATAGATTGTATAGTGAAAATGCATTATTTCTTTGAAAATCTTCTTCTCTGCTCCTGGCTATTAAATAAACTAACTAAGTACATAGTTATGATGAGCAAGAGTGCCTCTTCCAGATTTGTGAATTTTATGGCCCCAGGGTCAGGGGTTCTGGTGTTAGGGCGGGGCTCTATAGATTATATAGTGAAAATGCATTTATTCTTTGAAAATCTTCTTCTCTGCTTCTGGCTATTAAATAAACTAACTAAGTACATAGTTATGATGAGCAAGAGTGCCTCTTCCAGATTTGTGAATTTTATGGCCCCAGGGTCAGGGTTCTGGTAGTAGGGCGGGGCTCTGTAGATTATATAGTGAAAATGCATTATTTCTTTGAAAATCTTCTTCTCTGCTTCTGGCTATTAAATAAACTAACTAAGTACATAGTTATGATGAGCAAGAGTGCCTCTTCCAGATTTGTGAATTTTATGGCCCCAGGGTCAGGGGTTCTGGTGTTAGGGCGGGGCTCTGTAGATTATATAGTGAAAATGCATTTATTCTTTGAAAATCTTCTTATCTGCTTCTGAGTATTAAATAAACTAATTAAGCATATAGTTATGAAAAGCAAGAGTGCCTTTTCCATAATTGTGAATTTTATGCCAATGATCCAAGTATATATATTTATGATGAAGAAAGGTGCATCTAGCAAAATGGGTTTTTTTTATGCCCCGAGGGGGGGGGGGGTACATAATCTGAAAATAAATTAATGCTTTGAAACCTGCTCTTTGGTATTAATCAACCATAAGGCGTTTTATGATAAAATTTGCAAAATTTTGAAATATGTGGCCCCAAGGTCAGTGGTTCTTTTTGGGTGAGATGCACAACTGGTTATAAAGTGGAAGAACATTTTCTCTTTGTAACTCTGATCTACATCTGGGTATTGAGTAAGTAGAGTATTTTTAATTATGATAAGCAATGGTGTCTCTTTCAAAATTGTGAATTTCATGGCCTCTGGTTTAAAACACGAACCAAATTTAATTGTTTGAAAGTTGTTACACAATACTCAGGTGACCTATAAGGCCCGTGGGCCTCTTGTTTGGGTTACTCAGGTGACCTATTGCTATCCGTTTTCGTCCGTCGTCGTGTGCTGTGCGTCGTGCATTAACATTTGAACATTTTCAGCCTCTTCTTTGCAACCACTGAACCAATTTCAACCAAATTTGGCACAAAGCATCTATGGCTGAAGGAAAACAAAAATTATGAATTTCATGATCCCTGCCCCCCTCGGGCCTGAGGGGTGGAGCCAAAACCACTAAAATTAATGCAATCTTTAAAAATCCTCTTCTGTACTCCTGGATATCAAGCAATCAAACTGTTTGCATGATTGTAATCAACATTTAGTCCTCTACCAAAATTGTGAAATTCATGGCCCTGGAGTCAGGGGTTCTAGTTCTAGGGTGTGGCTAAATAAGTATATACATGTAGTGAAAAAGCATTATTTCTTTGAAAATTTTCTTCTCTGCTCCTGGGTATTTAATAAACCAACTAAGTACATAGTTATGATGAGTAAGAATGCCTCTACAAAAATTGTGAATTTTATGGCCCCAGGTTCAGGGGTGTAAGGGCGGGACTCTTAGACTATTGATTATATAGTGAAAATACATGAATTCTTTGAAAATCTTCTTCTCTGCTCCTAGGTATTATATAGATTAACTAAGTGCATAGTTATGATGAGCAAGAGTGCCTCTACCAAATTTTTGAATTTTATGGCCCCAGGGTCAGGGGTTCAAGTGTTAGGGCCGGGCTCTATTGATAATATAGTGAAAGTACATGAATTCTTTGAAAATCTTTTTCTCTGCTCCTACATATTAAATAAACTAACCAAGTGCATAGTTATGATGAGCAAGAGTGCCTCTACCACAATTGTGAATTTTAGGGCCCCAGGGTCAGGGGTTCTGATGTTAGGGCGGGCTCTATTGATTATATAGTGAAGATACATGAATTCTTTGAAAATCTTCTTCTCTGCTCCTAGGTATTATATAGACTAATTAAGTGCATAATTATGATGAGCAAGAGTGCCTCTACCAAAATTGTGAATTTTAGGGCCCCAGGGTCAGGGTTTCTAGTGTTAGGGCGAGGCTTTATTGATTATATAGTGAAAATACGTGAATTCTCTGAAAATTTTCTTCTCTGCTCCTGGGTATTAAGCAGATAAACTACCTCTATAGTTATGAACAAGGGCCCTAATCTTCCAGAATTGTGAATTTCAAGGCCCCAGCGTGAGGGTACCATAGAGGGGGAGGGGGGGGGGCTGTACTTATAGACTGAAAATGAATGGTTTGAAATCTGCTTTTTGGTATTAATTAGATATTTTATAAAAGCAAGGATGCCTTTTCAAAAATTGTGCAATGTGTGGATCTAGGCCTAAGGGTCAGGGATTCATGTGTGGTATATTTAAATATTTTTTTTGTAGAATGTAAGAGACAAACACAATGATAATATCTAAGAATGTGCCTAATCGGCCAATCATTTTTTAAGACAAAATTTACGTCATTTTTTAATGATTAGTTAAAAATCAAATGACATCATTTCTATTTTTGATTATAAACAATTCTGTTTTACTATAGATGCATTGAACAAAGGACGTGTAAAAAAGGCGGTGGCGGTGGTCGCAATGAGCTGCAATACTTTTGCATTTTTACTTCAAATGGGGAAATTATGGGTAGGGAAATTTACATTGGCTTTTAGCTTACCTGAGCCGAAGGCTCAAGTGAGCTTTTCTGATCACATTTTGTCCGTCGTCCGTCCGTCCGTCTGTCCGCCTGTAAACTTTTCACATTTTCGACTTCTTCTCAAGAACCACTGGGCCAATTTTAACCAAACTTGGTACAAAGCATCCGTGGGTGAAAGCAAATTTAAATTGTTAAAATGAAGGGCCAAATCCCCTCACAAGGGGAGATAATCAAGAAAAACAAAAATAGGGTGGAATCATTCAAAAGTCTTCTTCTCAAGAACCACTGGGCCAGAAGAGCTGACGCTTAGATGGAAGCATACTGGGGTAGTGTAGATTCTAAATTGTTCAAATCATGACCCCAGGGGGTAGGGCGGGGCCACAATGGGGAATCAAAGTTTTACATAGAAATATATAGGAAAATTTTTTGAAAATCTTCTTCTCAAGAACCACTGGGCCAGAAAAGCTGAAACTTTTGTGGAAGCATCCTGGGGTAGTGTAGATACTAAATTGTTCAGATCATGACCCCAGGTGGTAGGGCGGGACCACAATGGGGAATCAAAGTTTTACATAGAATTATATAGGAAAATCTTTGAAAATCTTCTTCTCAAGAACCACTGGGCCAGAAAAGCTGAAACTTATGTGCACATGGAAGCATCCTGGGATAGTGTAGATTTCAAAATGTCTTAATTATGATCAGTGGGCTAAGGTGAGGTTGCAATATGTATTAAAAGGAGGAAACAGAATGGTTAGCTTCTCAGGTGAGCGACGTGGCCCATGGGCCTCCTGTTCAGACTTTAGTGAAAAGAATGCTTAAAAAAAGCTTGTTTATAGCTGGTTTCAGCGCTTTTTGTGAGGGTTTAATGGGCCATTGAATGATTACGAGGAAAGGAAGGCCAAAAGATGAGAAGACGGACGGAAACGTATAGGAATAACCAGTGTCTGATGTTGTCAAAAGACATGAGTGTATTCTGTTACATGTATAGAAAGGGATATGAACACTTTGTCTCGTTAACACTGCACGAAAAGTTGCGTTAAATTCAAAATTAAGTTCCATTTATAACCCAATTAATCATCAAATTTAGACATAAAATACGAATTTAATATGGATTTGGGATTTACTTAGGAGTAAAATTTTTTGCAAACTCCTAAATTAAATGGGAATTAAACTTCAATTAAATTTTAATTATAGATAACATAAAAATCTTTTTATACACCAAGCTTAATATTTTATGTTGAGTTTCATGTATAAATTTATTATTTTATTTCACTTATTCATGACATTTAATATATTTATACACCAAGTTTAGGATTTTAAGTGGAATATCACATATAATTAACTATTTTATTTCACTTTTTCGACATATTATAGTTTTATACATCAAACTTAATATTTTATGTGGAGTTTCATGTATAAATTTATTATTTTGTTTCACTTTTTAGGTCACCTGAGTAAACTCAGGTGACCTATTGCTATCCGTTTTCGTCCGTCGTCGT